CATTTATTAATCCACTAAATAAATATCTTGCATGTTGGCGTAATCTCCGTTTGACAGTAGATGTGAAATTGAAAGTCTGTCACCTACCCTGGGGCGGGTTTTCAGGGCCTGCACGGCGGCTGTGATTGCCCGGATCCAGCTGTGCATCTCCTCAGGGCTGTCTGCCTGCAAACACAGCAGCCCCAGTGAGGGTCAACTGTCCTGGCATTGCCAAAGTTCAGCTCTGCTCCCACAAACAGCTTCTATTATAAATAATCCCAGAGGAGAAGAAAATCCGCCACAATTCTCCCTCATGCTCATGTGTAACAGCCCCATCTGCTCATGTTCACTGGTGAAGGACTGAACTTTCTGCCGCAAAATTATCCCGGTGTCAGCTGCTCACCTGGATGTAAAAGGTCCTGGAGCTCGTTATGATTTCAAAAAGGTTGTCTCGCATCAGGAGGTCACTAGAAACAGTGAGAAAGAGACAGTCACACCCCAGCAGCCATCATGGATAGAAAAATCCCTGTATTTATCATCATCTCTGGAGTGTGCCAGGGAGGAACATATTGAAGGCAAACCTTGGATCTCATTGGGATCTTTTTAGCCTTCTGTATGTATCCTTTCTCTATTCTTTAGTATAGTTTTTAGCCTTAGTTTTTCTTTATTATTCATTATCTTTTTAGCCTTCTGTAAGTATCCTTTCTCTATTCTTTAGTTTAGTTTTAGTATAGCAGATTAGAATGGAATAGAATGTAATTAGAATGGAACAGAATGGAATAGAATAATAAATTAGCCTTTTAAGAACATGGAATCAGATTCATTTCCTGCCTCCTCAGACAGGGGACCCTGAAAATACCCCACACAAGCAGCTGGAGCAGCCCAAGCTCCCTCTGGCAGGGCAGAGAAACAGAGGTGGGAGCATTACCCAGACTTGACCAGGCACTCGTGGGTCTTGCAAACATCTTTCAAGAGAATCGAACGCAAAGGCTCCTTGTCCTGCAGAGGTGAGAGGAGACAGTGCTGGGCTTGGCTGGCCCCAGAGCTGGCATGTGCCTCCCCCAGAGGAGGAAGAGGAGGTTCCAGAGCCCTGCTGGGGTCCGGGGGGAGCTGCTCACCTGCTCACACTTGTAGTAACTGATGGAAAACTCATCCAGAACAAAGTACCGCCGCTTCCAGCTCTTCCTCTGGAAAAGAGCAGGAGATTGAGTGCTCAGCCTGCCTCTCTGTGAATGTCCTGCAGCCAGAGCAGCCCCAGCCCATGCCTGGCACTCACCACATTGCCCTGCTTGACACAGAAGCCACTCTTGAGCGGGGCTGGCCCAGCTGGGGGCTTGGTGGCCGAGGGGGGGATGTAGCTCTGTGAGCGCCGCAGCAGAGGGTGTGTGCCCACCTCGCTGCCCTCCCCGTCCTGCAGAGAGAGATCACAGCCACCATCAGCAGGGAGGCACCCAGGACAGCCAGGGAAAAGCCACCTGACACAAGCCCTGAGTGAAATGTGTGAGCCAAGGGCTTGTGGCAGTGCTGAACACGGGGGGCAGGGAATGAGCCCAGAGTGATGTTCTGTCATTGTGTGCAGCTCCCTGGTGCTATTCCCACTTCTGCAACCATGTGTTAAATAAAAGAAATGAGAAGGGCCGCAGAGAAGCAATTAGAGGGCTGAAGGCAATCCCCTGCAGCAGGGGAGTTAACAGAGCCCACCTGCCTGGCTCAGAGGTGACTCAGCTGCACCACTGAAGGTATGAGGAGAACAAGAACCACCAGACAAACACAAGTTGGAAAGGAATGCTTTCCAACAGGAGAAGGCAGTATACCATGAGAATAAATTGCTCAGAAAAGCCATTAAGTCTCTGATTCTCATTTTCAGAGGTAAGTTCTCCCAAGGACACTTGGGTGTTAGGAGTTCAGAAAAGGAAGCTGTCCCTCCCAAGTGCAGTGAGCACAGAGCGGCTGTGGTCACAACCACACGCCCAGCACCCAGCCCTGGCTCTCCTGAGCACATCCCAGTGCACCCCAAAGGTCAGACCCACCCCAGCAGCACTGGGGTCCCAGTGCACCCCAAAGGCCAGACCCACCCCAGCAGCACTGGGGTCCCAGTGCACCCCAAAGGCCAGACCCACCCCAGCAGCACCCTCCCTTCCCCCCAGCAGCACAGAGGATGGCTGAAATGAACCCTCTTCTGTACTCAATTTCTTCCCCACTCCTCAGAGCCCTTCCTCCCTGGGCTGAGGTTTGAGCATTGCCATGGCAGCCACTGCCAGCCTTATATGGCCTCACAGCAGGGACTGTGGTTTGGGTGAACCTGCCCGCCCAGCACCTTCCTCAGCTGCTTTTTGGACACAGCAGCAGCTTCTTGTCTGGCCTCAAAGTGCTGCCCAGCCCTGCAGAGAGCTGGAGCACCTCGATGGGGATGCCACCCACACCCAGCTCTGCCGGGCATTGCACAGGGGGTGTCCAGAGCAGAGGTCGGGACAATTCCCCAGAGTGGGGACACTCTTGCAGCCAGGAGTGTCACACACCCCGGGGCTGGGGTGATGCTCCTGAGCGTGGGACTCCCCCCTGCAGCCAGGAAACCACAGACACACCCAGGAAGCTGCAGCAGGGGAATGGCCATTTCACACGGTGGGGAAGCAGCAAGAGCACAGAAATATTGTGGCAGCTGATGCACTGTCACAGACATCTTTTCATAAAAATCCTTTCCTTAGGTTTTTTTCCTCCTGAGAAGCTGAGAGGCCTCAGAAACAAAATGTAAAAAATGATTGTCTGGTGCTGTGGAATGCAACAGGTGCATCATGAGGATGTTTGTAATTAATGGACAATCACAGCCCAGCTGGCTCGGACAGAGAGTCTGAGCCACAAACTTTGTTTTCATTCCTTTCTATTCTTAGCTTAGCTAGCCTTCTGAGGAGAACCCTTTCTTCTATTCTTTTAGTATAGTTTTAATGTAATATATATCATAAAATAATAAATCAAGCCTTCTGAAACATGGAGTCAAATCCTCCTCTCTTCCCTCAACCTGAACCTGTGAACACCATCGCAATGCACCACCTCCAAAAAACCCCTCTGTACCCCACAACCCTCTGTACACCTCCTGCTGAACCCTGTGGTCAGGGAAGTGTTAAAAGCATCTGCCAGCAGAAACTGCAGCAATGATCTAATTCTCCTCTCTATTTTTAGTGCTGCCACTGATAAGAGCTGAAGTGAGACCCAGAGCTGGACAAGTGCCCAAGCATGGGAGATGCTGATGGCCACGTGCACGCCCAGCTGCGTGCCAGGGAAGGGATGCAGAGCCACAGCAAGAGGTGCCACCAGCCCTGGGACAGTCCCTGTGGCTGCTGTGGTGGAGACACCAGGCCCCGGGTACATAAAGAGGATTTGCACCCAAGACACGTGGGCGGGTGGTGATGGCCAGGAAGCTGAGCAGATTCATGACCTTCTCTTCCTCCTCACACCCCCTCATCTCATCACATTTCAGACTGAGAAAAAGCAGAGGGGTTCAGGGTGCTCAGAGCAGCCATTCATACCTGCAGAGGAAAGGCTTTGCAGCACACTGTTTCCAGGAATGAAAGTGCACACCAGCTCACCTGGTTGATGGAGATGGGCGTGTGGACCACCACCCCCCCTACAATCTCAGTTTTGTAGGCCACCTGAGGCTTCCTCTCCTGGGCCTGGGGCACCACTGGAGGCTTTGTGATCTCTGTGGCCGGCGGGACGCTGCCACCCTTTGGCACCTGTGGGAGAAAGGAAGGGATGAGGGGCATAGGATGACCGTGTTGGGTATCCCATCTCTGCCCAATGCAGCCACATCCCTTCAGAAAACAACTCCTGACCCAGCACCCAGGGTGTGGAACCCCCTGGGCACAGGGTGACAGTGCTGGGCACCCCATCTCTGCCCAATGCAGCCACATCCCTTCAGAAAACAGCTCCTGACCCAGCACCCCAGTTAGGGAGGGTGTGGAACCCCCCTGGGCAGCAGGAGCCACCCAGAGGAGAGATGAGAGGAGCTCAGTGATTAAAGCATCCCTTCACAGATGCCTGGGATTCGCCTCTGCAGCTCAGTGAGTTTGTGGGACACTTGTGCTCCTTTAATTGTCCCCGCTCCATTTACAGCCAGGCTTAATGAGGAGCTGGGGCTGGCTAACGAGGCTGAGCCAGGCATTGCTGTGACCCCAGAGCTGGCCCCACACCCCTGGGCCGAGGCTGGGCTGCACCAACACAGCTCCCACACTGCCATCCTCCCCTCTCCTTCCCTTGGCACCTAGAAAAGGCATTTTCCATGTAAGTTTAATAAAAGGAATGAAAAAAAATGCAATTTAGTAAAAAGCAATGAAAACCAGCTTCCCTTCCCATCCCTGCACTTCAGCTGCCCTAATGCCACCCCGCAGTGCCTTCCCCCCGAGCAGGGCAGGGTGACAGCAGCACCACATCCCTGGATTTGCCAGCCAGGCAGGGACAGCTCCTCCCTGAAGGGCTGGACGAGCCGGTTGGCCAGCTGGGACACAGCCAGGGTGGGGAAGGGCTGGCCAAAATCAGGCCATGGAAAGCACCACGGCTGCTTGCAGAAGCAGAAGATGCATCTCGTTATTCTCCTGTCAGAATCCCCCTGCCCCAGAGGCAGCGACCCTGGAGGATGCTGCTGACAGTACAGCCAGACATAGAGCCCAGGGAGAATCTGGCTACAGCTCTGGAGATGGAGTCTGTGGCCAAAAAAGAAAAGGCACGAGCCAGAGCAGTGTGGCAGCTGCAAAGGTTGTCACACTTAATGTATTTGCAGACAAAGAAAGAAAATACAAGCTAGGCCTGATCTTGCAGATGAGTTTCCCACAGAGACTACACCATGGCACTCCAGGGATTTTAAAGGAAAAACCCATGGGTAAGCCCCAATCAAACTGTTTACATCACTTTTCCTCACATTTAGTTCACACACCATAAACAGCACGCGTCAGTGCATGACCTAATAAAACTGCTCACATTATGCATTGGCCCTCTGTGGTATTCACAGGCCCTCTGAACAGAGAGGAGCTGTGAGACAAGCAGGGAAGGAAAATACAATTCTTATCTTGCTTGCTGTGCTAAAGTAGAATGCAATATGGAGATTGGTTACCCAAAGTGAGGATGTTTTGTTCCCTTGGCCTGTCAGGGCCAGGTGTGTGTGGGACTGTCATGGGAGAATCAGAGATGAGTGCAGTGTGAACAGTCGTGAGCAAGAGTGAGTGCAGGGCAGATTCAGTTTGGATACAATGTACAGTGTCACAGACATCTTTTATGGAAAATCCTTTCTTTAGGATTTTTCCTCCTGAGAAGCTGAGATGCCTCAGGAACAAAATGTAAACAATGGTTATCTGCTGCTGTGGAATGCAACAGGAGGATCTGTGATTGGTCTCATGTGGTTGTTTCTAATTAATGGCCAATCACAGTCAGCTGGTTTGGACAGAGTCTAAGCCACAAACCTTTGTTATCATTCCTTCCTATTCTATTCTTAGCTACCTTTCTGATGAAACCTTTTCTTCTATTCTTTTAGTATAGTTTTAATGTTATAAATATCATAAAACAATAAATCAAGCCTTCTGAAACATGGAGTCAGATCCTCATCTCTTCCCCAATCCAAGAACCCCTGTGAACACCATCACAGTACATAGTACAGTATAATAAAGTAATTAATTAGCCTTCTGATGATGGAGTCAGATGCATCATTCTCTCCCTTTTTTCACAGTCACCTTTGATTTACAATACCCCACTGCTCTCTGCAGGTGAGCCCCCAGAAGAAGCCCCCAGCCCTTTCCCAGGGACCCCCTATATGCAGGCAGAAACCATCCAAGTCTCATTTTCCTGCCAGCCCATGCCCTGGTGGTGCCCAGGAGGGAGCAGGGCACATCCCACGCTGCCAGGAGCAGCAGGCACTGGGTCAGTGCCCATCAGCTCACGGCCCTGTGAGCACAGCAGCACAGCACAGGAGATGGCAGATGAAGCCCTCTGGATGTGCCCCACAGTGATTCGCTGCCTCGTCACAAGAGCTGGCATTCCACGGAGAATAAAAACTGAATAAATAAGTTACTGAAGCACAATAAAGCCAGCCTTTGACAGGCACAGTGAGGCCAGATCCCAGCCAGCAGCAGCAACGGGAGGAGGAGGAGGAGGGCCTGGATGGCTCCCACAGGACCTTCCTGGGGCACAGCTGGGCTGGGAGGGTGAATGAAGAGAAATAAACCTCAGCCATAAGGATCCCTGGGGATGCTGGAGGGAACAATTGAGAGGAGCATGAAGTAACCCACCGTGATCTTACTGGCCCTGTTCAGCGCCTCCACCCAGTCCTGCAGGTCCTTCTGGTCACTGGCTTGCAAGAAATAGCGCTGGGAGAGAGCGTTGATGACTGCCAGAGAGGGAAGGACAAGGAGAGGAGGATTCAGAAGGGTTCATGGGGCACCCACACTGCAGATTCCTGTGGGAGATTGTCCCCCCACTGAGCCCACCGAGATCCCCTCACTCACCAAAGCAGAACGGAGTTTTGGGCTTCTGTTTTGGGGTGGCAATGCTAACCTGTGACAGAGAAAATCAGGGAAAAAAAATCAGAGAAGGGAGAAAAATTAGAGAGAACAGCACGTGCTAACGGTGGGCAGAAAAGCTGGGAGTTTCTACCTACTCATCCCACTTCCTGCCTGGGCTCTGCCAGCCCAGCCAGGACCCCTAAACAGGACCCCACACACATGGGGGCAGCTGGAGCTGCAGCACAGCTGTGGCAGCTGAGGGAACTGGCCCGTGTCACAGCACACGCAGCAGCACAGGGTGCTGGCTCCCAGGGGAAGGTCAGCACTGAGCCAGGACTTTCATGCCCTGCATCCCCTCAGGCACTGGCTGAGCTGCACAGCAGAGGACAGAAAGCTTTCAAAGGACCTGAAAACATCCTCCATTCTCCTGGATTAACACAGTCCCTCTCATCAGCAATTAAGGGAATTGAGGGAAAATAGTGGTGGTTTTTCCCTGAAGAGTAGGAATCGTTTATATAAGAATAATATTCCTTGAGGCTCCACAAACAACATTCGTGGAGTATTTATTCTGACAGTCGTCCTCCTTCAAAGCCAGTCCATAATACTTTAAATATGTTTTCTCAAGCAAACCTCCCTTTTTCTGGTGTATTTACTGTTGGTACTTCCAGCCACTGACAGAACCCAACCCCACAGTTTGTGACCAAATGCTGTCCTGCAGCAATTTCCATTTAAACTAAAACCTATGTAATTTGTGAGGCTCTCCAAAATGGGGAAGGCTCGGCCTCCCAGCATTGCTTCATCTGCGCTTAATTTATAAATCATGATTCAGCAGGAACAGGAAGATCTGTCCAAGGCTATATCCAGCTCCAGGATAAAGCAGCCACCAGCCCCCAGCAGCTGAGGGGCCACTTGCAGGAGGAGGAGGAGGATGGTGGCAGCTCCTCTCTCCACACACAGCCACAGCTCTGCCTTATTGCACTGCTCCTGCCTTCCCAAGGAGACTGGAAAACCCCCTTGAGACACACAGGTGACTTTGGAAGGTCTCATCCTTCAGGGCACTGCCCTCTGAGCACAGGGGTGCTCCTGAAGCACTGCTCAGCTGATTGCCCAGCTCACACTGACACCACAGTGTCCCCACACACCCCTGTGTCCTTCCTCAGCAGAGCAGTTCCTCTTCCTCCTGCAGCCCAGCCTTGCACCCTGTCCCGTGCCACTCCAGGTTCTTTGTGCTGCTTCCCACAGCCCTGCTCAGCTCCATCCCAGGGAGATGGACCAGGAGCTGGCCTCGGGTGCTTCCAGGGCAAGCCATTCTCTGTCCAGGGAATGGCACAGGGATAAGGGGAAAACAGGGAGCACTCACCTTGCCTGTGCCCCACCCCAACGTTACCTTGGAGATATAGGTCAGCTGCAGAGATCCCACAGCACCTGCTCCAATGGCCAGGTTCTGCAACACACAGGAGGAGCAGTGGGAGGTAAATGACAGGGAGAAGGTGGCAGGGGCAATCCAGCCTGTCCTTTGTGCCCTTGGGCTCAGGCAGCAGCTGCCATCCTCAGCCACTTCCCTGTCCTGCACCTGCTTCAGCCCAGACCCCTCAGCAGAGGGAGCAGCCCTGCTGTGCTCCTTGGGACAGCCCTGGAAACCACAGAGGTCACAGAAGGGCTGGAGCCTGGTCATGAGAGACTCTGAGACAGCAGGGAGGGGCCTGGGGAGAGCTGGGGGAGATGCCTGCTGCAGGGAGGGACGTGTAGGAGGTCAGGGGATAGGATGGTTGGAATGGATGGAGATGAGAGATCTCTGCAGCCAGGTGGTGGAATTTGGGGTTTATTGCAAAGGGCCCTGCTGGGAGCTGCCAGCCACAGCTCAGAGCAGGCCTGAGAGAAGAGAGGGGTCGAGAGGATGAGAGGGTAAGAGAGTAAAAGGGTAAGAGAGTAAAGTTCCCATTACAATACAATAAATCTTCTTCTGTGTTGAATATTCTGCTTCTCGCTAACCAATCTAGTACAAGATACAAATCCTACAGCATTTACATACAGCCTATAAGAATCATTACATTGCTATACTGTGTTATATTTTAAACCCTAAAAACTCCTCTTTGGGCCCCTTCTGGCAAGTTAGTGGGGTCTGCTCTGACTTCTGGAATTGTCTGCAAGCAGGGAGTGTTGTTTCATCAAAAAGAGATTACCTTCAGCCAGGCACAGCATTTTCTCATTGTTCAGTAACTGAGGTATCTGAAAGCTTGCTTTCATTTCAATCTCACTTATAGTTTCTATATTCTCAAAATCTTTTGCCAGGCAATCATATTGATAAGGCTTTCCTGTTCCATCTTCCCCTGCAGGGATGTGCCCACAGACTCAGTGCCAGCTTTAGGGACGTGCCCACCTGAGGATTGTCCATGTACCACAGGAGGTGGTTGGCCTGGGTGTCCAGGATGAAATACCTCCGCAGAAACTTGCCACAGGTCTCATTTTCCTCGATGTCCAGGAAGCCACAGATGCGGTTCTGTCGGTCCAGGTACGGCATGCCGGGCTCCTTCTGGCATCACCCTGTGATGGATGGGGGCAGGCAGGGGCAGGTGGGTGCTCTGCCCCCACATCCATGGCACCCAACCTGTCCCAGGTGTTCCACAGCCGCTCAGCCACAGCTGAGCTCTCTGGAGGGAAATGGGAGGAACAACACCCAACCCACCACTCCCAGCCCCCAGAGCCACCAAACCCCATGAGCGAGGCCAGAGCAGCCACAAAGGATGTGCCACGAGACACCAGATCCCTGAGAACTGTGCTGAGAAATAATCCCAAAGAGAGAGAGAGCCTGAGCACACTCCCAGGAAACGGGGAACAATCTGCAACTCCAGCAGAAAATCCCTGCAGCCAGGACGTCGAGTCAGCAGGGAAAACAATGACCCATCCCAGCAGGGCCACGCTGTGCCCCCAGCTCTGCCAGGGGCATGGAGGGATCCTTCAAACCCCCTGGGCTGCAGTGGGAACATCATCATCATCACTTCCAGCTCTGCATGGGGAGCAAAACCAGCGCTTCCCATCCAGGAGGAATCCTTCAAACCCCCTGGGATGCAGTGGGAACATCATCATCATCACTTCCAGCCCTGTGTGAGGAGCAAAACCAGCGCTTCCCATCCAGGAGGAATCCTTCAAGCCCCCTGGGCTGCTGTGGGAGCATCATCATCACTTCCAGCCCTGCATGGGGAACAGAACCAGCACCCCCTATCCAGGAGGGATCCTTCAAACCCCCTGGGATGCAGTGGGAACATCATCATCATCATCATCATCACTTCCAGCCCTGCACAGGGAGCAGAACCAGCACCCCCTACCCAGGAGGAATCCTTCCCTGAGCTACCCCTGAGCACCATCATCACTTCCAGCCCTGCACAGGGAGCAGAACCAGCACTTCCCATCCAGGAGAGATCCTTCAAACCCCTGAGCTGCTGTAGGACCACCATCATCACTTCCAGCCCTGCATGGGGAGTAGAACCAGCACCCCCTACCCAGGAGGAATCCTTCCCTGAGCTACCCCTGAGCACCATCATCACTCCCAGCCCTGCATGAGGAGCAGAACCAGCACCAAGGGGCTCAGGGGGGCAGGATGTGTCCCCCTGCCCAGGGCACAGGGTGGAGGGCAGGGATGACAGCAGCCGTTACCCAAAGGATGTGAGTGAGCCCAGTGTGGTTTGTCTGGCAGGAGAGTGAGTGGTGATCACGCAGGTGCCAGAAGCAGAGCTACACAAATAAAAGAACTCGCGCAGCAAAAGGAGGAAATACTATTTTTGAGCTGCAGTGGAGTGGGGCCCGGGGAGGTGAGGGTTGTGCAAGAGCTGGGGTGCAGCTGCAAAGGTAGAGGAGGCAGAAAACAACTCAACCTGCTGCTACCACCACCATTTCAGAGATGGGTATCATGGGGACCATGCTGCTGCAAGGGGAGAGATTGTTTTAAACCAATGACAGTGCCCTGGCACAAGGCTTTCTGTGGGCATTTCAAGTCTCACTGCTTTTTTGTGGGGTGATTTTTGTGGTGGGGAAGCACATGGAAAGGCAATCCCTTCAACCATACCAACACGTTCAGAGCAAACCTCATAAACCCTTCCTTCTGCTGACAGCAAAGGTCTGGTGATTTCTGCTTAGGGGATGGATGAGGAAGGAGCAGAATGTGCCCCAGGCAGCACAGAGAGAAGCCCCCAGCCCCATGGGACACCTCTTGGGGTCTCCATGTCCCCCCAGCACCATCCTTCATTACAATGGGCTCATCTGAGTCTCCATGTCCCCTCCACCACCATCCTGCATTACAAACTCATCCTTTCTGTGCACACTGACCTCAGGCTGCACTTGGAGATGCCCAAAGCTGTGGGCAGAGGAGATTGGGATTGCCCCACACTCTGCACCAAGTCAGCCAGGTTCCTGTCCCCTCACTGCCCACAGAACACAAATGGTCTCTTTAGAGCCACCCAGAACTGCACTTTTCCATAAGAAAATAATAAAAGTAGCATCTCCAGCTGTGCTAAGAACATCCAGGAGGGTCAGAAAATTCTCAATTTCCTAGTGAAGCCTATCAGAGACTTCCAGGACTCTTTCTTACCACTGAAGCAACTGACTTGCCAGCTTTTTAAATCATGATATCCCATCAAAAAAAAAACACCCCTTTCCTGGTTCAGTGAATGGCATTACAAGCAATTGGGCTGCAGGAGAAGATTTACAGCAAAACCACCCCCTTGTCAGCCTGAACCAAAGGGAAGTGCTCCCCAGGGAGAGGCAGGAGGTGCAGGGCACTGTCTGTGCAGCACCCAGGGGTGGCTCAGAGGCCTCGTGTGCAGCCACCCAGCCAGACTTTCCAGGAAGCACCTCAGGATGCTCCGCACGGTCACGGCTGCCTGTGCCCTGCTCTGAAAAACCCGAGGCCATAGGAGAGCCGGCACTTGGAGCATCACATCGCCTCGGCACCTCCCTCCGCATCACCCAGCGCACCTGCGGGCAGCCACAGCGTCCTCCTCCTCCTCCTCTCTCACACCTGGATGAGCCTCCCTCCGTTCCAGAGCACTGGGAGCTGCCTGGTGCCCCGCAGGGCTGCAGCAGCGCTTCCTCTCACCTGCGCTCGCAGAGCAGCTCCCACGACAGACAGACACCCAGCAATTCGCTCCTACTAATTGGCAGCTCTTTGCCCTCATGAAACCATCAGCCTGTCGGGAGGAGGCTCTTCATACATACAGCTCTTCATCAGCCACACACAGAGTAGCTGCAAATCCCCTCCACGAGCCTCCATCCCCACAGAGTTCGGGCGAGGATGGTCCTGCAGCATCCCCGGAGCTCCCACGGGGCAGAGCCCCCCTCGCTGCCCCCATCGAGCCGCTGGCACCGCGAGGAGCGATGTCCGTCCCGATCCACGACAGACAGACACCCAGCAACTCGCTCCTACTAATTGCAGCTCTTTGCCTTCATGAAACTATCAGCCTGTCGGGAGGAAGGCTGCATACAGCTCTTCGTCAGCCACAAGGAGTGGGAGAACACAGAGTAGCCCCAAACCCATGATCCCCACCGCACGCTTGGCTCCAACCCCACAGAGTTTGGGCGAGGATGGTCCTGCAGCACTCCCGGAGCTCCCACGGGGCAGAGCCCCCCTCGCTGCCCCCATGGAGCCGCTGG